AGAGGTAAAGGACCACGCCGAACACCTGAGTCACATTGGCCCTGCCAGTCTATAAAATAGAGAAAAATTTTTAAAGTTTTTTTTTTTTTTAATTTTTTGCTAAATGATCCCAGGTGTAAAATATGTATCCTCTGTTGTGGCCCCACTCTATCCCTGGGGGTCATGATTTGAACAATTTTGATTCTAATGATGCATGCACAGTAATATAACTAATCATGGAGTGGAGGTACTTCCCGAGGATGATCTCATATTTATAGGACTAATCATGGTTTTGACATTCTTTAGAAAATTTTAAAAAGATTTTTCCTATAATCCCATTTAAAACTTTTTCCCCTATTGTGGCCACACCATATCCCAGGCACCATGATTTGAACAAACTTAAATTGAATCTAAACTTTGTCAGGAAGCTTTTATATAAGTTTCATCTTTTCTGCCCCAGTGGTTCTTGAGAAAAAGATTTTTAAAAAGACGCCACCAAATTTCACAAATTCTTGATTATCTCCCCTTGAAAGACGGGGCGGTTCTTTATTCTGAATAAACTTGAATCCCTTTAACGTAAGTACGCTTTAAGGTGGCAATTTTGGTTGAAATTGGCCCATTGGTTCTGGAGAAGTCAGTCGAAAAAGACAACACACGACTTACACACAGGTAGATGGACGCCGCGGACACTATCTGATTATTTTTCGGCTCAGGTGAGCTAAAAAAGACATCTGTGAACATTGCCCACATATCACCAGTATCTGACGAGTATAAAAGCAACTAAAGAAAATAATAAAGGAAAAAATAGCAACATTGACAACACATATGGAAAATACACGTGAGCTGAAGGATTATCGCAGCTGCTTCAGAGACGACAAAAAAAAAACTCAGTCGAAGACCAATCTTTGTTTCGAAAAAAGGGGTCGAACTCGTCATCAAAGAATTAAATAACGTATACTTTGAACATCCCACGACAAAGGGTATGTACTTTATTGAACTCCGTATAAAACTAGCAATCTCAAACTTCAAATAGACTATTTCCATGGATACATTTTGTCAAACGGACTACAGGTATTCCTTTGCCATAAGCGTCCATTGGTTTGTGCAAGATGTCGTCAAAGACAAAGGCATTGCGGGTTGCTAAAGGTCAACGTTGACATCTCTCAAATGTTATTCAAGAATGAAGTGAGAAAATGAACACATCCAAGAACTTTCTTTGATTAAAGATGAAAGTATATTAAAATTTATCAAATCTAAATAAAATTTTTACGTGAAAGTGATTAAGATTTGTTGGAAGAAATTTGAAAAGGAAATGCATGTGTGCATGACATATATTTCAACACAATTTTCCACTGAATTGTTTTGGTTTTTTCTACTTCTATATAAAAAAACCCCTAATAAATGTATATTGTGTAAACTACCCAGACTGACACACGAGGTCACTTAAAGTTATTGCTACAGAATGAGATATAAATTATCTTATTTGGGATGTACATGTAGGTTGTCTCACTGTTAATATATACACAGGCATTACCCAGGAAAGCCAACAAAATTTGATTTAGCCATAATGAACTCGTAATTCCAAATCCAAATACATTTTCAAACAACGCGATCCCCTCTAAAGTGTAAGGAAAATATTCAGACAGACACGGGATGAAAGTCTTGAATTTTTTTAATTGCCCGTGTATATACCACTTATGCTTGTCCTGGCCTAAGAAGGTCTAGGAAATGATAAGATCACACTTTTGTTGATAATTCCACTTAAAACTTTTCCGCGGTATTCAATTAGTGCTCGACAAATGGAAATTTCGTCAATCTTGCATTAGGACGTCCATTTACAAATGCCAATATTTAGCAATTCGAGGCATCGGACTGGAAAGTGCCCAGAATGTACAAGTCGAAGCCTCCTCTCGCGGGGGTAATCCTGGTGTTAGTCAAATTGTATTAGATTTTTGGGGCGAGTCAATTATTTTCACAAATTAACATTCACTGGAATCCATTCGAACAGCGAATCCCATACTTTGATATCAAAGCCCTACTAGTAGATATCGTCAAGTAAACAAATTACATCGGGACATTTGCACGACAAAAAAAACTGTTACTTCTTCTATTGAAGCCAGTGAAAACTGTACATATTTACCAAAGCGTAATTCAGGTATATTTTATCCAGTTTCCGAGACATTCACACGAAATTTGTCGTTAAAGTGCAGATTTCTTAAACTAATTTCGAAGTAAAATAGGGCAATTGTCACTCTCAGTGTCCAAATATTTGTAGACCATTAGCTCAGGAACCTGAATGGTAATTGGTTATCAAATAGTTCTCTTGTGTGATGTGCAAACATGACAAATTGGTGGTTAAATAGTTATTAAGTTTCCAATCTTCCTTGCGTTTATCATTCTTATACCTGTTATTTTACAACTAATCAAATTGCTGCATTTCATATTGACAGCATTCCTGTTTTACCTGAACTTCTTTATCTGCGATTCACTTCCGGTTAGAACACATTTCCGGTGATTTGGATTGATGTTTACCCATCAAGTTTGTAAACAATTTGACATCTTTCTATCAATTAGGTATATTTGCCATCACTCCTCGCAAGAGATTGGGTATTTTAGCTATTAGCCCGCAAGATAATACAGATTGATAATTAAGTTTTTCTATCCCTCTACATTTGTACTAGGGAAAGGGGTATTAGCACTGTTTTGTTTTCTTTCCATTTTGAATGGTCTGCTTGGATAGACAAATTATTTTGTGTAAATTGGTCAACATACCATCCATTACTGGGTTAATGCACCTTTGGCCTTGACAATCCCACAAAATTGTAATACATAACTCCCATTTCGTGAAAATCTGTTTCAAAATTAGAGGAAAAATTAAATCCTCGAAATAAATTTTAGTATTTTATTGTTACATTTGTTAATTGTATAATTAATCTCTTTCACTGATGATATTGTTACAATATCAATGTTTGCTTTCGCGTTTATTGATATTTACACAGCGGATTTCCTACAAATTGCCAATAAACCCCAGTGGCGATGTTTCACTCACAGATATTTTTTATCTTGGTAATTTGGCAATTAGTGAGATTAGCAGATCAAAATAGGCCAAATGTCAAGTGATATAAATATTTGTCATAGCATGTCTAGCTTAAGGTAAATAAAACGATTCTATGCACATGTAACAAAAATCGATTTGCGTAGACTTTTGGCGCATATTCACCTTAAACAAATGACTTGAAAACGGCTGCCAGTAAGCGTCTACTATCAAGGGTCAATTTACTATGATAATGCCACTTACATCGCAGATAGAATTCCCATGTGGTCTGGAAAATAAAGAAATCTGTTTTATTTCACTCGGTAATAAAACTATATATTCATTCGCGTCATTTCTGTAACAAGGGTGGGAAGTTGACTTCGTAATTTTCCCAAAACTGCGAAAGAAGTCAAGAGATCCTGTGAAACTCCAGTAGCTTCCAAAGTGATTTTTTTTTCTTTTGGAAGATTGAAGTTTAGTTTAATCTCATCATTCTTATAATCAAATCAGCAGAATTACTTTCGCAGAAACGCATCTAATGAATTGAATTTCGTAATCTTGCCATACTTTAACCATCGACTCATCGTGGATTTATCATCGTCTCCAACTTCATTTTGCAATCATCAATTTAATATGTAGAGTGCAATATATATGATTAGATTATTCCGTGCAATTTATGATTAAATATCGATTTACTTTATAGATTTTAATATACACGTCGTTTAAAACATAACCACGTGGATTGAACGTATCACATTAATGTATTTGATTTCTCCAGCACTGTAACAAAGGACATCATATCTTATAGATGAACATTCGATCAAATATAACATGACAGTGTTGCAGGGCCATTTTCTTCAGCGAAACGGAAATGAATAGATAGCAGTTATAGGTTTAAATAATTAACTCGATAATTTCAGTTACTGTCTACATTGTCTGTCGTTACAAAAATCAAAGTTTGAATGCAATGGAACACAAAAACACAAGAGAAAGCGAAAAAAAGTAAATTAGAGACTATTTCAGGAGGAAGAAATCTAGTTAATCAAGGAAATGAATGCCCCACGCTTAGGATTAATATAAATTAAGCTTCATCAATACTGCCTTCAACCTTGACCTTTAGATCATCTGTATTTTACCAGAGTAGATCAATATCAGGGACAATTAGTACCAATACGGAAATATAGAAAACGCGCGAATTATCCAATCCAGTACTTATACGCTGATGGGATATCTGCAATGGTTTAATGCATTAGTGCATCGCATGCGCCAATGAAGATGGAACAGTTTGATATCGTTGTCTGTACATTATAGTTATGCATTGTTCTTGCATAATCGTCAAGTAAACCCTATCGTTGACAGAATAAAAAAAAACTGTAAAATAGTTTATTAACGCGATTAGTCTTGCACAATTTCATTTGACAGCTTTGTTTTCCTGTGAATTCGGACAACATCTAGGCGTCGATGAATCTTGTACATGTATGCATCTTAACTTCTTATTGGTTAACTGCAATGGTGCTCAAGGATTAGTCTCTCTTGCAGGCTTGATTTTCTTTGCCTAGTAGTTTCTCTTTTCATTCTCCATATTTACTAATAGTACAAAATTAAAAGTTCAAGGACATTTCCAAAACATGTAAGTAAAACAAACATATAAACCATCATTCATCTGAAGAATCTTTTTTTAGCCCAAGTGTGAAACAGTAAATGTAACATTAAGCGGGCGTAGTATTTCAATTAATTTAAAAAAAAATCTCAATAACAGATTTTCTCCCTGAAATATTTTTATGTTTCATTTCCACAAATTGAAGTGTGTGAATTGCTGGTGTTAAAATTTCTATCGTCTCTTTTCTCCGCTTCAGAGATCATTTGACATCTTAATAGGAAACCATTCTTGCATAAAGTTAATTTATTGTCATAACATCTCTAGTGGTATTAATTATCAATAATATTTTTACAGAACGGTACGCTCCCTCTGGAATGATAAAAGAAAAACAATTTCATTATTTTATTTCTGAAATAAACAAGACAAAACGTTCACTTGAAGGCGTGACAAATATATTTATCAACAACAGATTACATTATGAAAATGTACATATTAAGTAAAATATCATTATTTTCACGAACACGACACATTTGAAGCCGGTGTACGTACATGATATAACAATTAAACAGAGTAGCGTGGTTTCGGTTTACCACATCAGCACTGAAAAACATGACTGTAGCAAAAGAACAACACAAATGAGAAAAATAATATGACATAACGTTAAGTTTAACTTTAATATTCGACCCATTCTTGCCAAATTCTGAATATTTTGTTCAGACTGGGCATTCATAATGTGTTGCTTTATTACAAAAAGAATGTTATTCAAGTACATGTATATGGAATGTTCCAATGAAAAGTTACGCATATGCTGTAAAATATATACTGTGGTAACTTTTCAAGACAAAATATCATAACTCAAATAATTTAATTGCTTTAAAAACCAAAGTATTGAACTGTTACCAAGGTGAGAACAAAACCATGAAAGTAGAAAGAAGGGCACTACAATGAACTCAAGACAAAATGTAACACCAAAAGAAAAGAAAACAAATTTAACAGTTTCCATAAAACAATTGTACGATGTGCCTTAGGAGCACTTACAATAAATTTTCAAAAAATGCAGAGTTCAGTGAAATAACAGGGGGAAAAATGAAGTTTTTCAAGCTTCTTGAAATATATTTTATACTGAAATGGCACAAAATTATCTTTCTTCTGTCACATTCAATTTACGTTGATTGTATGATGCCGCGAAATTTGTGACTCCGCGAATTTCCGTTCACTTGACCTTTCACATTAGCTTTGGAATAATCGTTTTCACATATGATATTGCCATTTACCACCCCAAATCGGTCACCGGGGGCAAGAGGCATATTGCACGTGTAGCAGTTGAAACATTTGAGGTGATAAACGTTCCCTTGTGTTCTCATGACCATTTCATTGGCGGGAATACTTTGTCCACACACTGCGCATGATCCACCGGAACAAAATAATCTGAAATATAAAGTTCTTTTTTTGAGACCAATGTATCAAATGTTAAAGCCTTTTAATGTTGATAATGATGAATAAGAGGGTGTAACAATAAACGAAAGATAATTATCCAGGAAACAAAATATGAAGGGGCAATTTTAACTGCAATTTAACGCACTTTGCGTCTCTTAATTAGAAAATACCTCTTTGCATTATTTAGATGCAGGACAAACAGCATCGATTGTTAAAACAGCTGTTTCTCCATTGTTATACATCAAATCTTTCTCCAAGTTTTCACAATACAAATGAACCATACGGTTTAACAGTAAATTAATCGCGCAAGTGAAAAAGAGATGAAACATTGTTACATTCTCTCTCTCTCTCATTAATTTAATATATATTCTCCATTCACATTTTAATAAAGTGGCATGATAAGTATTTTTTTCTCTATTTCTCATGACTTACAGCCTTGGGTGAAGGGTCTAATATCAAATTAAATATATTTAATAACTGGCATTGATTCTGAATTTAATAAATGTAATATCGAATTATTCATCAAAACTGAAGTAATTGAACATAGTATTTAAAGACCTCGTATTGCATTTCCCTAGTCAATCATTTTAGATAAGAAGATAGCAATTTCCACGTTGTGCAAAATTAATATTTTAATTAAAAATCCGGATGCCATATGACTCGAGAATAAAACTGTGCTGAGACGGTACATTTGAACAAAACAAGCTAGATCGCCCATGTCATGTCATCGCATTATTTCATTAATGAAGTTATTCTCTAATAAATAGCGTATTTAGCTTTGACCTTTGAACAATATCGGTGACAAAATTATCAACAAGATGAGGTCTATATCAAATCAATTAATCGGGACTCCATTTAGAATATTCTTATCAAATATTCATCTAACATTGATAAAGGAAAATTGACATTGATCTCCCGGATAGTAATGAGTCGCATACTCGGTTCTGGACTTTGTTTCCCGACCTTGCGCCGCGTGTTCCCTTTCCGGTAACAAAAATTGACAGCAGGAACAACGTTACGTCTCATTAAAAACTTGCATCTGTTTTGTGTTTTAATTATCAGATGTTTGCTAAAATGTAAACAGCAATATTAAGATACTTTATTGTCATATTTCTGGCATCTATTCCACGTCCATCACCTCTGGGGAGAAATATTTCGAGTTCGAGCACTCCCTATTTAAAACTTCAAAAACAAATCAGAATTTATACATTATCAGATGCTTGCAGCAAAACTAGAAAAATAGCATAGAACTTGAAGTTGTAAAGAGAAATAACACGGTACCATTATTTGTTGTCTATACCCAGAAAAATCGCATCTGTCTTTGAAAAAAAGACTTCGAAATAAATTTGCATACGTACCTGGGTATCTAGCTTGTCTCTAAGAAATTTTAGCGCAGATTTTGATTTTCATCGCAGCATGGCTAAGTGCAATTTGATAATTTATACAGAATTCACCCTAAAATCTCGTGGTATCCTAAGTTATGGAAATATATGATTTTTTTTTTTTACATTCTTCATATATAAATGAAGTGTTACAACACCTATTTTATTCCTGTTTATCAAGTAGCAAAACCACTCTGGAGTTAAATTAATTCCAAAGTTTCTTCTTGGCTTTAAAATTTTGGTAAATATTTCTGGAGCCATTAATGGTCTCCACCTTCAATCCCACTTCATTAACCATAACCACCGGCAATTCCGAGCAGATGTGCCTCCTTAATAAGCTGATTCGGTTATCTTCTAGCCTCACCATATGATTCGATATTTTATTTTCTGTTTGCCAAAATGATTAAATCTTTTCATTTCATACTCGTCCGACACTTCATTTCATCCTTAGAATATTGGTGGTATTTACTTTAATAACAAATTAACTTCAATTCATAACTTCTCTATTTTTTTAAACCTTCTCCCATTTAACAGTCCATTAATAATGCCTTGCTATAAATTGGTCGAAGTTGGAGGATACAAATTAGTCTTAATTAAAACTGTATCCAAACTAAACTATTTCTTAATGAAAAATACACAGAAATAAATGTACAATAAAAGGCTGGCAAATACTCATGGCAGAGGTGAATGGAGGACTTCAAAAGAGTGTAAGAGGTAACCGTTTTTATCAAATTATGCTTTAATAAACCCCAAAGTGCCTCCATTATTTCTTGAATACACAAGATTTTCAGACAAGGGGCTTGTTTCGTTTACTTTTCACAAATTTGATGCGAGATTGGTTTACCCATGTGTTTTTCATACGTAGTCGGTCGTTAGAGTTTCTAATGAACGTTCAATTAGGGAGATATATGTTTTATTAACGAAAGATCCCTCGCAGCGCACCGAATTTCGGCTACAAACCAAAGTAATAGAAATATCCAATTAATTTATAATGAGAGAGAAGGAAATTGAAAAACGGGGGAGATGGCTACAGCTCATGTAGAAATAACATGAATAGCAATGCAAAAAGAGTTCGATAGTTTTTAACACTCCGAATTAATTTGGGGCTGTAATAGAGTTAATTAGATAGGGCGAATGACATGCAATGGGTAGAGAAGTTGAGAATCTATAGTTATAGTAGGCACCGTTGTGAGAATTGATGTCAGAAGTCTTTTTTTTTCCTTGAAAATATCTGACTAGAAATGCTTACCTTTTTAGCATCACAAACCAATGCAGTAAATTACTTTTGACTTCATTTGACTTACCTCATATAGTCATTTTTACACAGTATCATGCCCGCCCTAGTAAAACAGGAACCTAGCTGCTCCAGATTCGTTTGACAGCAGGAACATTTTAAACACCCTGTATGCCAGAAACGTTCCATCGCATGAAGAAGAAAGCGATCACTTATCCTAGATCCGCACCCCGCACAAGCCTTGATGGGGGCACTGTATCCATCTGTTGGGGCGTTGGAAGCTGGTCCAATTCCCTGTGACATACCTCCTGTTCCGTTTACGAGGGTAATCGAACTATCGTCTGTTCCTTAAAATTTGAAGAAATATATTGATCAATGATTTTACATGATACAGATGTGAATTTATATACATGTATAACAAGCTGTAACTGACATATGAAGCGATTAACAGGAAATGGGTGTAAATCGGAGATATCCCAAGCTCCGATATATCTAGCAAGGTTTATATGATGTAAAATAAGTGGTTTCTGCTTTAAACAAAGAAAAATTTGAAATCACGTTTTCAGAATATCTCAAATGTTTTACCTACATAGTTAGACAGTCGAGAAGATTGTGTCTATCTATACTGTAGCGTCGGTTTAATCATACGGAGCCATAACGCTAATTAGACGTTATGTGCGTGACCCGAGGTCAACTTTTGTGTGGCAGTTATCATAATAAAAGTGAATTGACAGTAATCAATGATCAATCACATTGACGGAACGATACCTATAAAACACCGCCATCAGTCCAAATACACAGATAGGAAAGTGGCAGGGCGGATCTTGGTTTTATGTTAATATAGACAAATCCCTTTTCAAACAAAGTGACGAGTTGGAGAAAGCACACCTTGTCTTTGGTACTTGGAGGATCCCCTTGTTCCTAGAGATCTAGAAATGTTCTGCACAAAGTGCACACGGAGAAGAGTTTTCGAGAGAGTACAAGGAGTATCGATATTATCTCTTTGCTCTTGATCGAGTTTCCAATGTAAATGTCAAGAAATTTGGTGTACTTACTGGGGGCATCTTAATCAACACAATGCGTGCGACAGTTACAATGCATGCTTTTCTTCTCGTGCGTACATTCTCCATTGAGTAGCTTGAAGAAGTAAGACAAAGTAGAGCAAGAGAACGAATTAAGTATTGCTAATGAACCCACACAGCCTCTGCATCACGCAATATAATCAACCACTTAAAAACATATCAAACATCAGAGCCTATGACAGCTGTTCCTGATCATATGGCTGAAAGAGAAAAAAGTTTCAGAAGCAGCAATCAAGCTATATATTATAAGGTTGCGTCTTAATGAACAAGAAAAAGTATACCGTCTGTAAATGATGAAAGGTAGGTTTAACCCGCATCTACACAAACACACGTCTAGAAATTGGAGGTAATTTGCCAGTTAGTGTATTACTATCCAGCATTCCATCTCATCAAGCGTTTTCAATGTTTAGTTTAGCTTTTGATAAAGAATCGTTTCTGTGGACTATGATTATACTCCACTATTCACTACCACGGACAACTTGGTTAGTTAGAAACATCTCAGTAATGAACCAGGAATAATAGGCCTAGTAATGTAACACGACCATTTCAGTAACAAATAGGGAACATGTAGTATATAAGATATTATAAATCGGGAGGGAAAATGAAAAATTTACAAGCCTTCCACAGCAATACAGACTACAAGGTGTGTAATGGGTAAACACCATGCAGCGAGGTGTTCGTCTTATAAACCTGTAGCTTCAATGTTTATTCAGAGTGACAGTTTATTACCATGAATGATGTCTTTAAACATTCCAGAAAGAATACAAGATTAGCACTAAAAAAACATGTGTACAGATTCATTTTAGTAGTTTTACTGATTTTTTTATTGCTCACATTATTAAAGTGATTGGGGAAAAGTATTTAAGTTCCATTATCATATTTTGCAAGTAAAACAAAATAAAGAAATACCCATAATGCCTCCAAACATTGTGATTAGTAGTCATTTTTATGCTATGAAAGAAATGTATACAAGTGCACAGCATTCGAAATAATATGCATTCTTGGTCTGCTAACCAAATTAGAGACTGCATTCCAAGAACGTTGCTAGAAAATTCGAAAAAGAGACAACGATTTTACATACCATTCGTCATCGTCCGAGAACTAGATTGTCACATAGAATCAAGTTTTCCCAAGCAGACGATTTATACAAGGAAATTAAACACAATAAACGACAGCGTGTTTATTGATCGAACTGTGTGTTGACAACACAAGTTTTAAGCCACCACGTGGGATTAAAATAAATCACAAAAAGTTAACCTGCTCAAATTTTAATGAAAACCCGTGAAAAATCACTACTGGCAAATCCAAGTTCTGGTAAGAAATTGCTAACTGACAGTCACACAATCCGAACACTATCTCAAATCATATCGGCTTTTCACGATTGTGGGGTCCGACTATTTTATAAAATATTGACTGAGAATAGACCACATCTGGAGAGCGAATGGATTATTAGTCATTAGGGTACAACCAATCAGGAGACGCGTTACATTAAACGTTGAATGGAGCGGAAAGTAGTCCCGCCCTATGTAAACAAAGCTAATGGGAAGTTTTCGTTTAGTATTGTTAAAAGCATTTATAAATCTTTAAACAGATTTTAATAGAGTTGTGTCGATCAAAAAAGTTCTTTATTGCTCTGTGTCTTTTAATGGAGAATAACTTTAATTGGTTTGTGTACTATGAAATTATATAACCCTTTCATCTATCTGCGAAATCAATTACCCAGAATACAAAGAATATTTTCTTAGCAAAGGAAACGTGTAATGTTAATTCACAAGTCAATATTTACATACAAACTGCAAAGTAATTAGCCTTGTCACCGAAATATTGATATTCCTAGGAATTCATTAGAGATGCCAAAAGAAAACTGAAAGATTCCTCGGGGTTTATCAGTCTCAAAGCTTCTATTGTTCTGCGATTCTTTTGGATTCGCACCTTACAATTCTGCGCCATTCTCGGGTGTCATACGAGGATTACAGAAAACTAAAATGTGCCAACAAGTTTTTATAAGTACTTAAAAGCCGATTCTAATGGACTTATACAATAGAAGAAGTCAAGTTCATTAGCTCTGGGAAATTAAATGTTGTAAACAGAGTGGATGCCGATAGCTTTAATTAATCAATGTATGCATAGAATTTGAATCCAGGGTACGCATTCCTCTTTCACATTTCATTACCGACAATTAGCAGATGATATCATTAATCTGTCCCACAATCAACTGATAGAACGCCACTGACTCATTCGTTTTAATTAATTTTGTTTGCAGTCGGGGAGATTAGGGTAGCATAAAAGTACAAAACAGCAAATAATGCGAAAAATTAATTGTTAAAAATGATTCTTTTGTGCAAAGTTAATTTTGTATTCTGTTAATTAGAGACTTAGCAATTGTTTTATTGACTACTGCTGCCAAATTAGATCTAAAACATATTATGTTTACATAAAAAAGATCCCTCAGCACAAAAATCACATGGCAAATATGTGACAAGGAGGCAACCAAACACTATTTATAACTCAGAAATGACACTGAAATAAAATTTCTAAATAATTAATAATCAATTTTCAATTGCCAGTGAAGTCTTCATGATTAATAAATACTCAGTACTATATTCAATTTGCGTAATTTTTTTTTTTACATGTTTATTCATGCAGGCCAACCAATCCCTCCATTTGAAAAATATCATACGTTATTTTGCAAAACACACACAGACAGAAAGAAAAGGAGACGATGTATTAAAACTGATTCTTTATCATATAAATCAATACAATAAATATAAACGATACATGAGAACTAAGTAAAAGGATTATTAAAAAACATTTATTCTTACGATCACTATAAATATTTCTGAATTTTCAAGGACACCGAACACATGGTGGATGTAGTAAAATTAAGTAGATATTCCTCATATTATTAGCAGAGAATAGCTCTTTTCAAATTTGATGTAAAATTTCGACGGAAAATTCAATTTTGCATAAACATACTGGTAATTTAATTTAGACAAGCAAGTACGCAAGCATTCAGTCTTGCAGAAATACGTGTATGGGTAAAATTTAACTATTTACGGGAAAACTTTCACTCTCTGAATCAGTTGGTCATGGGACGGGGTAATCCGCCCGACCGCAAATCCCCAAATTATACCGCCACGCAAGAAAAGAAGGGGGAATCGACAAGTACATAAACCCTCAATAATTGGACGTTGTTATAATGGGCACTGACGGATTCGATGTAATTAATGTGAAACAACTCTATTGAAAAGATAATGCTCAAATTCCCCTGATGCAAGCGCCCCCACCGCTCTCTAATTGCCAATTATAAACTGTGTAGAGCGCACGGACAAGAGAAGAATTAGGATGTATAACAAGGACCCGCCGTTAGAATTTTGGTTTGTTTATCCTCATCTGAAATTAATTGGTTCCCTACATAAATTTGGTGCTCGTTAACGAATTCCAATTTGATCTCTAGAATGATGTCTAAAAAGACGCCAATTATATCCTTAATTTAAACGCTGCATAATCAGAATTTCGGCGCAAATGAGGAGCAGTGACTGCGGAAAAGAATACAACTACCTTGTTATCCTGGTTGCCAGACTGCAGTGGTTCCAGCAAAATCCCCTCACCGCCTAAAGACACATGTTTCTCTGCATCTCAGTCGTTTTCTTTGTTAGAGCTAAATTAGTCTTTAACATAGGACACCGGTTGCTATCTTGTTAAGTTGCTTTCACAGTGTAATGTTAATAAATAATATACAGCAGTGATTGCAAGGAACATGTAATATTAAATCAATGTGTTGATTTTTCAACACCTTACTTATATATACAGTAATAAGCAATTATCACTTTAGAAAACTAACCGATTATGATGCGGAACCAATGAATGGTAATCGAGGAAAAACAGAAGAAAATTAAACTGAAAATTCCCTTTTGTGTGTCAAGACATTTTGCTATTTAGCGCCTTATTAACAAACAATCGCTTTTCTCTTCATCTCAGTTCAACAATACCCATCTCAATTCTTAAAAAAAAAAAAGAAAGAAAGAAACTTTCATTGAAATCAATCAGTAGAACTGATTTTGGAAAGGGTTCTAAGAACATTTTGAAGATGAAGCAAGAAAGATAAGACACTTTTTTTTATAAGAAACATTACATGTTATCAATATTAGCACAAAGGTAGGTTGCTTCAAGTATATTGTTGCAAGAAATATGATAAACTGCTAAATTGTGTATCAGTTTCACACCTTTGTGATAAATTGGTGGCCAAGGGTAAGGTACAGTGAAAGACATGCAAGAATGCATGAATTCGAAGGACCCTTGAATTGGCATTGACTATAAAACTAAAACGTATTCACAGTTTATATACAACATATTTCCTCCTATTGTTACTATTTGCATCATTCCTCCCGCACAGTGATTCAAACATGTTTGAGAATCGATTAGTAGCGAGAATTTGATTGGTTGCTGTGATCCTCGAAGTATTTTTTTTTTTTTTTGTATTTAGTCTTCTCATTCCAGGTGGCACATAAGGCAGCCACACAGTCCCTCCACCCAGTCCGATCCTCTGCTCGTGTTTCCACTGTCCTCCAAGGCAACCCTATCTGTTTAAGCTCGCTTTCTGCTGTTCTTTGCCATGTTGTCTTTAGCGCGCCTCTTTTTCTTTTCCCATAGGCTGCCAGAAGATGCTTTCTCTGGTGATATCATGCTGATCCTTCCTGAGCACATGACCTACCTATCTCCACTTCCTTCTTGCAATCTCCACAAAGATGTCTTCCCGTCTTGGCATCTCTCTGAGGTCGTTGTTGGACACTATACATTTGGCCATTTGATCTTAAATATGGTTCGTAGGCATCGATTCACAAACACTTTCAGTCTTTCCGGAGCTTCCAGTATTCTGATCATATAGTAAAACTGATTTTAGATTACTAAAGAACCCGAGTTTTGTCCTAATAGTCATATAGGAGGAGGTCCAAACTGGTTTTAAGATGGCAAACACATGACGGGCTTTGTTGATTCTTGATGTAATATCCTTGTCAGTACCTCCTAGCTGATGTTGTTACAATGCCACCCAGATATATGAGAGTCTACATCTTCTAAACGCCCTCCATTTTCTAGTAAGGGGTTGTTGTACCGTGCATGAATTCTCATTATTTTAGTCTTCTTTAAGTTGATGTTCAGACCTAAACTTCTAGATGTTTTATGGAGTTTGGTTGTTTTCCCCTGAATGTGCTGATGGGTGGATGGGATGAGACATAGATAATCCAGTGGCCCATTTTACAAAAGAACTTACGATTAAGACCAACTATTTTAGTTGATTGTAAAATTTTGTAACATTGATGATTCTGTTTGAAATTGCTAGCATAAAAATGTACTGTTAAGTTCTTTTTCAAAAGATTAAAACCATTTTCAAATAAATGTAAAATAGGAAGAAATAATCAGAATTAAATTTTGGTCTTAGTCGTAATTTCCTTTGTAAAACGTGCCCCTGGTCATCTAAGTTTGATTTCCATTCTCCACCTAATGGCGTAAATCTGATCTCTGGTGGATTCTCTCATGAACCAGTCTATGGCCATTAAAAAGAGCAGAGGAGACAACATATAGCCCTGTTCAGGCCTGATGTTACTGTTTGGTCGTTGTCAACCATCACAGTAATACTGTACGCAAATTTTAAAGAATTTCAGTCTTGCAATGGGATTAAATGGATTAAGGTTCCATAAGTAGTGCTCCTTAGTCATCGTTTTTTCAAATCTCTCGTTCTTCGATGTTGTTAATTCTCAAGAGGATTGAATTAAAAAGATAAAAATTACAAAGAAGTCGAATCAGAGAAAAACAGAAAAACCGGTAACTTCCTCTCACAAATTATGGAACCTACATGTAAAATGCCTGAAAGAGAAATTAAAGTACATTTGTTCGCACCCAAGTCGAAGTCTTTATGAAGCATTTTGTTAAAATATTATCAATTTTTGAACAATTTCTGAACGTGGGTTTCTAAGAAAATATCAGAAAGCCATTCCACTCCACATATTAGTTTTAAAAACCAAAATCAAACTTAGAGAAAAAAATTTAGGTAATTTTGCTCCTGAATCAAGGTCATAGCACACCTCTAGGTCATCAACAATATACAATGCTTTAAGTTCGAATGTATTCAAGTCAAAAGTTCCAGTGTTATGGTCAATCACAATTTCAGAATCTAAATGTCATTTTCAGTAACCTTAGATTGCTTCTTGAGACACGATGTATTGCTTCTTAAATCAAGATTATAATGACACATCTTTGGGTTATTAGCAATAACATAATCAGAGCAAGTTAATGGCCAATGTGTTTACAATTCCCTTGACCCTGACTTTTGAAATATGACCTTGCAATAAAATCATGACACATATAGGTCGTTGAAAGCATATACTAAAGATTTGAGTCCATGTCAGTCAAATGTTTGAGAGTTCTAGCCTGGATACGAG